ATCCTTGGTGTGTGATGTCTTGAACGGAAACATGTTGGAACGTGTTATGTGGAACCAAGTCAGCCAAACATCTAGAACATATTCCTGCTTTAAAAGTAGAATTCAGTAAATAATCCTTCAGCTACCGATTTATGTCTACACAGACAGGATACTTTACATTTTTCCTTTTGATCTTTTTCACTTGACTTTGATATATACATTTAGAAAGCTGCTCGTAAAGTATTGCTCAAAATGAATTAAGCAAAGCTTCTCTTGGTGCCGGGAATTAATGCTCACACAGTCTGATCAGAGCTGTATTGTAATTCCAGCTCTTACACACCAGCCAGGAGCCCGGGGAAGTTACGGAACATCTCCAAATCCTAGTTTCTTCATCTGTTTGGTTTTACTATTATCTACCTGGTGTGGCTATTGCAAAAACTGGAAGAAACAGTTGGTATGTGGGATGCATGAAATGGTATTTAATAAATGCCATCAGTTATGTCAGTAGATTCTGAGAAATGATAGGTGGTGTGATAGATGGATGGAGATCAGAAGTTAGGGGCCTGTGCTTAGGAAATGTATAGTACAGTTGAGGACAGAATATTTTATAGGAATAGTAATATCTAATCAACTCTTAAACTGATGGTTAGAGCCTAGACGGTTGGGAAAGGTATTGGCGCTGGGTAGGAGTTACCTATGGTCTAATTTGGGTAGGGAATTAGAAAGATAAGACAGCTTTATGGAGGAGTTGAACTGAGGAAAGGTGGGAAGATTAGAAACGTCTTCTTTATACAAGAGAGAAACCAGTGGTTTGAATGGAATATACTCTCCCACTCCTATTTCTTGAGAGCATGATTTCTTGCCAATATTCTGTTTGGGGATAGAACGTTGTGATGTGGTAAATATTCCTGTGCTGCTCTGTTTTTGCCCATATTCAATAAATCTCTCTTCTTTTAGGCCAGAGATCAGCAAAACTTTTTTAGTAAAGGGCCAGATAGTTAATAAATAGTTAATATTTTTTATAGACCACATACGGTCTCTGCTCATATTTTTCTTTTTACAATCCTAAAAATGTAAAATCCATTTTTCTGGGCCACACAAAAACAGGCCGATGATCAAGGGTTGACTCGTGCTGTGTTTTCCTTTCGTTTCTTAAGATAAGGTTTATGTGTGTGCGTATGTGTATCTACTGATAGGAGGTTTTGACACAGCACTGTACAGGTCGTTACATGGTGTTTCTTTAGCCAATTTTCTTGAAACTCTCTGTTCAGTAATGGCCTTTTATATTATAAGAACTTTTTCAAGGTGCCTGGGTGGCTCAGTTGGTTAAGTGTCCAACATCGGCTCAGGTTATGATCTCACAGTTTGTGGATTCATGCCCCGCATCAGGCTCTGTGCTGACCGCTCAGAGCCTGGAACCTGCTTAGGATTCTGTGTCTTCTTCTTCTCTCTGCCCCTCCCCCAGTCACACTTGATCTCTCTCTCTCTCTCAATAAATGTTAAAACAAAACAAAACAAAACTTTCTCTGATCATTCAGTAGATGGTAGGGGGTGAAGTTGGAACAATTGAGAACCGTTAGCCTGTTCTCGTGGTTCTCAACCTGGAGTAATTTTTTGCCCACTCAGGGATATTTAGCAATGCCTGGAGATATTTTTAGCCAGAACTCTGGTGGGTAGAGGTCAGCATGCTAGTAAAAATCCTATAGTACACAGGATCCTCCCCGCCCCCAAAGAATTGTCTAGCCTGTGTGCTGATAGTGCCAAGGTTGAAATAAAAGTGATTTATACAGTGGGCTTGGTCTCCATTTCTTGGATACTTTTCTCTTGACTCCATTGTAGCCCCTGACAAGGCTAAAAACATTTTTAGAATTGCAGGGCTCCAGGGGCACCTAGGTGACTCAGTTGGTTAAGGGTCTTACTCTTGATTTTGGCTCAGGTCATGATTTCACAGTTCGTGGGATCAAGCCCTGAGTTGGGATTCTCTCTCTCTCTCTCTCTTCCCCGTCCCTGTTTGCATGGGTGTGCTCTCTCTCAAAATAAATAAACATAAAAAAAAAGAAAAAGAATTGTAGGAGTGCCTGGCTGGCTCAGTTGGTTAAGCATCTGACTCTTGGTTTTGGCACAGGTCATGGTCTCGCGTTTTGTGAATTCAAGCCCCATATCTGGGCTTTAAGCTGACAATGCAGAGCCTGCTTGAGATTATCTCTCTCCCTCTCTCTGCCCCTCCCCCACTCACTTTGTCTCTCTCAAAATGAATAAATAAACTTAAGAAAAATTAAAAGGAAAAGAATTGCAGCGTTCCAGGGGACTGTTCAGTGTCAGGGTTTGCGTGAAAAACCATGGCTAGTCACAATCCTTCTTAGTTCTGTAAGGGTTCTTAAAATACCTCTCCCCGCCCCCACCCCTGCCTCCCCTGAAAATTTAGGGCAGTTGTCTCCCCAGCGTATCTTCATTATTTGTCTCTACTTTTTCTATCCTGTCATGCTCTTTGAAAACAACAATGGATTAATACTTATTATATACCTTCCGTGGATAATCATTTCATTTTGTTTTTTTATTTTTAAGATTTTATTTTTAAGTAATCTCTACACCCAAATGGGGCTCCAATTTACAACCTCAGGATCAAGAGTCTGCTGCTCTACTGACTGAGCCAAGCAGGTGCCCCAATAATCATTTTAATGACCCAGTCCCTGGTCATTGCTCTGGTGGGAGCATCTCCTGGGACTGATTTTCTAATCCCTGAGGGAGCAGTACATTTATTTCATCGCTAGATGACATAAACAGTGGGATTAGAGGGTGGGGGAGTGCAGAAAGCATCAACCGTTTCAGCTTGATGATTATCCTGTGAGTATACAAATAGGCATCTGGTGAGTCCAGAGTTTTAGTCATAAGTGTGACTCTCAAAGTGTGATTATCATGGGTTATGAAAGTTGGTTACCCAAGGGTTCTAGGGCGAAGGGGAGGACATCACTTGTTATAATGCCTGCTTTGTGCCCTGGACTTGTTTTATCTCATTTAATCTTCACAAAAATGCCCAGGGAGGTAAAGATTATCATAGCTTTGGTTTTTTACATAAGCTGCAGTTCAGTAGGGTTAAGTAATTTGCCAAGGAACATATGGCTGCATTTCTACATGTAGTGTATTTAACTGTAGAGAAATGTAGCTGGATGAGGGACAACACAAAGTGAATTTGCACAGAGGGAAAACAATGTCTCTTTAGTGGAGAAAGAAAGGAGCAAGGGGGGTGGAGTTTGGGTAAGGATGAAATAGAAAGGGATTTTGAATTGAATGGAAAAGGATATCACTCATTGAATTAACTCTTCAGATTGGTTATAATGCTTGGCTCTCTGAACTGTTTTAACTTTGATCCTCTTTGATTGCAGTGAAGTAGTACTTTGAGGTTTTTCTTAATGTCTGCATTTTTTTTTACCCTTATTATAAAATACCAGTTGGAAAACTAAAATAAAGGCAAACATTCTAATCACCACCACCCGGATGGCTGTTTTCATTTCAAACTGGAGAAAACATAGGTTCCACAGTGTTATTTGTTATATACATTGTACCACGTTATGAAATTTATGCAAATTTATACATAATACAAAGTATGACTATAGAATTGAAACTCATAAACAACAAAATAAAAATTTTACTAACAGCTTCTTAAGCAACAATTTTGACAAAGATACATGCTTCTTTTAGAGAGATTGTAAATTTGTAAAACTTGATGGAAATCTCTTCTGGTCTCACTCTCCAATCCAATTTAAGCCATGCATTTCTTAAAAGCCCTGTGTCCTGGCTTGCCCAAAGCCTGTATGCACTTGATTGAGAGCCACGTTGGCCACTGCTTGTTAGTTCTGAGTGTTTGAATTATTTCTAATAATTCACTCTCAAAGGACCAGCATTTGCTGCCATCTAAGATGGCTATACTATAAGGCTCTAAATATCTGCCAGTGAGGAAGTTCTGAGTAAAAGTGGCATCATTAAAAAGAGTGTCCTCAGGGGGCGCCTGCGTGGCTCAGTCGGTATGATCTCACGGTTTGTGAGTTCGAGCCCCGAGTCGGGCTCTGTGCTGACAGCTAGCTCAGAGCCTGGAGCCTGCTTCAGATTCTGTGTCTCCCTCTCTCTCTGACCCTCCCCTGCTCATGCTGTCTCTCTCTCTCTCTCTCTCTCTCAAAAATAAATAAAACATTTAAAAAAGTGTCCTCAATAATCTGAAGTATTTTTTTTCAAACAGCCTTAAAAAGCCTTTTGATACCTCATGATTTTGACTGATGTAACTATCCTTTTTATTTCCTTTGAGAAATAGAAAGAGAGAGAATCTTTAGGAGGCTTCATGCCCAGTGTAGAACCTGATGTGAAGCTCAATCTCACAACCATGAGACCTATGCTGAAGTGGAGTTAGATTTAACCATATCTTTAATTTTTTTTTAATGTGTGTTTATTTTTGAGAGAGAAACAAAGCTCATGTGGGGAAGGGGCAGAGAGAATCCAAAGCAAGCTCTAGGCTCTGAGCTGTCAGCACAGAGCCAGATGTGGGACTTGATCTCACAAACCATGAGATTTTGACCAGAATCGAAGTCAGGATTAACCTACTGAGCCACTCAGGCGCCTTGAAATGTAACTATATCTCTAAGTTAGCATGATCACTGCCTTGGATGTGCTGTAAAGATAATGGGATGAAGAGGTTTATCAACTTTGGTATATATAAGTAGTTTGAAACTAAATGGAAGTGCTTAGTATTCATGTATTTCTACTTAATAAATAGAAATTTTATTACTGGTAGTGCCTCAGGACAGGGTTCATTAGGCTATTTTATTATATATTTACTCAAGAGGGTAATTGAAGACTCCAGAAAGTGTGGGTGAAATCCAGACTGACAGGAAGCATCTATTATGTGATTTCAAACAATTCTCCATCTCAGATGCATTTACTTGGCTTCTTGGCTCTGTGGAAGTTTAATTTGGGGTTAGAAACAACCTCATTTTACTTTCTCAAAATGTTTCCTTAACTTAATATCCCAGATTTAAACTTTGAGAAGAACAGTTCAGTCTCCCGGTATGGAGCCTCTCAAGTTGAAGATATGGGGAATATAATTTTAGCAATGATTTCAGAGCCTTATAGTAAGTATTGCTGTTTTAACAGTTCCAGACCTAGAATTTGAGCCTGCCGTTTTTTCTTCATGTGTACTTTTGAATCTCTTGTCATAGCTTTGTCTCCCTAATAGCTAAAATGATGACTTCTGTGTTCTCATTTTTAGATCACAGGTTTTCAGATCCAGAGAGAGTAAATTACAAATTTGAAAGTGGCACTTGGTAAGTACTATAGTGGTATTCAGTTTGAGCCTTTTGATTTGTTTTATTCATATTGTGATATTTATCTCCTCTTGTGTTTTGGTAACTTCACTAAAACTTTTGGCTATCCAGTTTTTAAAAATATTATGTTATTTATAAAAGAAAGTTGTATCTTAAAGGGAGGTTGGATGTTGGTATTAAACTTAGGTGAAATATTTGTATCCTTAGTCATTATGACCCTTAGGTGTTGTGTCTGTGACTCTTGTTTTAGCCACTCAGAACTATTCATCGTCTCACAGGAGAACTTCCAAAGGAAAACTCACAGGCTTTAAAAGAGTTCACAAAATTTTTACTGAGATAATTTTAAATATGTTCTATCAAGTTCTACTTTTTTTTAAATTTATTTTTTAAATTTACATCCAAGTTAGTTATATAGTGCAATAATGATTTCAAGAGTAAATTCCGTAATGCCCCTTACCCATTCAGCCCATCTCCTCTCCCACAACCTCTCCAGCAACCCTCTGTTTGTTCTCCATATTTAAGAGTCTCTTCTGTTTTGTCCCCCTCCCTGTTTTTATATTTTTTGCTTCCCTTCTCTTATGTTCATCTGTTCTGTGTCTTAAAGTCCTTGTATGAGTGAAGAACTACGATATTTGTCTTTCTCTGACTAATTTCACTTAGCATAATACTCTCCAGTTCCATCCACGTAGTTGCAAATGGCAGATTTCATTCTTTTTGATTGCCGAGTTAATGCTCCATTGTGTGTGTGTGTGTGTGTGTGTGTGTGTGTGTGTGTGTGTGTGTGTATACACCACATCTTCTTTATCCATTTCTCCATTGATGGACATTTGGGCTCTTTCCATACTTTGGCTATTGTCAATAGCACTGCTATAAACATTGGGGTGCATGTACCCCTTCAAAACAGCACACCTGTATCCCTTGGATAAATACCTAGTAGTGCAATTGCTGGGTCGGAGGGCAATTCTATTTTTATCAACTTCTAATTTAAAGCAAAGGAAATAACTGGCAAGAAGTATGAAGTGGTGGTATCTCATTGTGATGACAGAGCTGTTTGTAAATCACTGCAGTGAATCCCTGAGATTGCCTGCTGCCTGAAGTGAACAAAAACTTTGGACATCTTTGCCCCATAGAGAAATTTTGAGGCCTAGTTAGTTGGGGAGAAAGTGAGTTATTTGGAAAGTGTCCTAAGACTACTGGAAATGTGAATATGGGAGGAATAGCACATCAAACGGTGTTAAAATATATAATAGGTGATTTGCAAATGACTCATTAAGGTGTGGGAACTCCCATGCATTTCCATAAACATTCTGATGGCTCCCCTGTTAGATAGGGGAGATCTTTTAATGGCAGTGTTCTGACTACATGCACATATTCCTGATGTGGGCTAATTGTCAGCTTTATGCAGATCTTAACTTTTGCCATCCAACTGGATTTAAGCTCCACTGGTATACTGGCCAGATCTGAGAATAAATTTAAATGTATTCTTCTTGGTTCTAGGAACTTACTGGCTATCAGGGTATGGGCAGAACTTCACTTTCTGTGACTTGATCCTGGGTCCTTTCAAGTTTATGGCAAGCACGCAGCAACCCCACCGATAGATGATTTGCTGAGTGATCTAGCCATGTGGGACCTGCGTAGGCACTTTCCTTTCCATAGTGAAACACCTAAAGAATACTTTGTGCCCAGATAATTTTTGAGGTTCTGAAATAAACCAGGCAGTATTACAGGTCTGTCTGAACACCAAATAATACCTTATGTGTAACTAGGAAAATGGTAGGAGGGAATAGGTTAGACTCCCTAGTGCTAATTATGCAACCTGAAGTTTTGCTTGACCCACAGCAGCAAGATGGAACTTATCGATGACAACACCATAGTCCGGGCTCGAGGTTTACCATGGCAGTCTTCAGATCAAGACATTGCAAGATTCTTCAAAGGACTCAATATTGCCAAGTTGGTCTCCTTTAATCTCTATTTTATATAGTAATCCCAAAGGGATAATGGGTGTCCTATCATTTTTCCTCACTACATTTCCCCCCCACCCACCTGCTGTCTGTCCTTTTCAAAGGGGAGGTGCAGCACTTTGTCTGAATGCCCAGGGTCGAAGGAACGGAGAAGCTCTGGTTAGGTTTGTAAGCGAGGAACACAGAGACCTAGCATTACAGAGGCACAAACATCACATGGGGACCCGGTACATTGAGGTATGTCCTCACAATCTGAGATCCTTGACATTTTGAATAAATATTAATATTGGAAGACTCAGAAACTGTATTTAATTCCCCTTTCTTTTCTTAGGTTTACAAAGCAACAGGTGAAGATTTTCTTAAAATTGCTGGTGGTGAGTGCTTTTTATATAATGTGATTCTTTATAAAGAATCTAAATTTATTTATATACCAGCGTAGATAAATGGAGTCATGAATGGTTTCTATTGCCTAACGAAACATAGAATTGACTTTTTTTTTTTTTTTTTTTTAGTTAGAAGACAGACCCGTAAGGTATCAGTGACTACAATGTATACACTTGCCATAAGGCTTGAGTCAACCAACTGTTGTTAAATAGCCAGTAACAATAGCACCATGCTGGGGAGTCTGGCTGGCTCAGTCAGTAGAGCATGTGACTCTTGATCTTGAGGCTATGAGTTCAAGCCCCATATTGGGTGCAGAGATCACTTAAAAACTAAATCTTTAAAAACAAATAGTATAAAAATGTGAGAGGGTCATGTAAAGTCATGTACAAAGGAAGAGAGTAGTTCTTGAAAGAAATGAAATAGTCTGGAAACCACTTTTAAACAGCCACACCAGAATACCTGGAATTGTTACATATCTTCTTGTGGGTTTTTTTCTCAAGCTTCCTTAACTCGTCAGTGGCCAAGAACATAGTACTTTTCTTGCTCCAATGTGTTTGAGTATGTAGTGTTTTGTTTGCAGTACTGTGGCCAAAAAGAAACAGGAACAGACACTGTCTTTAATTATTGAGTAATTTGTTACTTAAAAACTTAAAGTAATGGATGAAAATGTTAACTATGGTTTGTCTGACAGTTTTTTCTATATGTAAAACTACTTTGTATGTTTCTATTGCTTTGTTCATACAGCTTTATAACTTTCTCTTTTTAGAGGATTATATTTTCCCATGTAACTAAATATTCTTACACGTTAATTACTATACAATATTATATACCACACATTATTTTAAAAACACCCCTGTGGGCATTTAAAGCTTATTTCCAATTTTTCACACTAAGTGTCTTGCAATGAGTACTTTTGTGTCTCTGTATGTGCCACTCATTAGGATCCCTCTCTAAAATTAGGATAGCTGAATCAAAGAATGTAGGTAGACCTTTAATAGGCTTTTGAAAATCTATTGCCAAATATATACTAGGTGTCTCACTTAAATATAGAGAACATTTGTATCACTGCATTATATAGCCCTAATTAAAATCCTTGCAACTGTTGAACTTGTAGTAAAAACTTCCTGTTTGCAATTTGCTGGTATATTTCTGTTCTGGGACTTATTTCTTTAGATAAATGAAGGCTTCCAAATTCAGAGCTTCAAGTTTAATAGTGCTTCCAAAATCCTAAAGCGATTTTTGATATTGGTTGGGGATAAAATACATTTGGAGTTGCTATGGCTCTGAGGTTCCATGATCGCTAACCTTGTAAATTGCAGAAGCAAAGTTAACTACTACATTCATGCCTGGGATCTCATGGCATTTGGGTGGTATGATAGTTTGCTCTTAAAGGAAAATGTTACTGGGGCACCTGGCTGGCTCTGCCAGTAAAGCATGTGACTCTTAATCCAGGGACTGTGAATTAAAGCTCCATGTTGGCAGTAGAGCCAACTCTTAAAAGGTGTTTGGGTGGGGGTGGAGGTGGGGGTACCAGTATATGAGCTTGCATTTGAATGTTTGCTACATGGCAATACGTACAAAATGCTTTATGTCAGGCAGAATGTTAATAAATCTTGAAACTGGCTGCTATGCATGTTCATTATACTCTCCTTAACTTGATTATTTTTGAAACTGTCTTAATAAAAGGTAATCAGGAAAAGAGTAACAAAAGTCACCAAATTGCTTTATGTATAGTAACTTATTTAAATATCATAATTTATGAAGTAGGTAATTTTACCTCCATTTATAGATGAGGACCCTAAAATATAGAGATTAAACTTGACTAAAGTCATAACCTAGTAAATGGCAAAGTCAAGATTGGACCCAGACATTCTAGCTCCTTGACTTGTGCCCTTACCTATCACAATGACTTACTGCCTCTCCATGAGCAGAATACAGTGGTTGGTCCATGATTTAATTGTCTGGCCACCTTCCTAAGTTAAGAGGTGTTTTACAAAAATGGTCGGGGAAAAGTTTCAAATTTGTGGGAAGAGAATTGTGATTCATGGGATGTTGTCATGATTCAGTGGGAGTGTAAGTTTTAATTAAAAACTCGAGACCTTGCCAAGAATTTTACCATTTTAAATTTGGTAAAGTTGATGCCTTAACCATTTCTCCCCATGTTTCCTGGTATGTGTTCCCTAGGTACATCCAATGAGGTAGCCCAATTTCTCTCCAAGGAAAATCAAGTCATTGTCCGCATGCGCGGGCTCCCTTTCACGGCCACAGCTGACGAAGTCGTAGCCTTCTTTGGACAGCATTGTCCCATCACTGGGGGGAAGGAAGGCATTCTTTTCGTTACCTACCCAGATGGTAGGCCAACAGGGGATGCTTTTGTCCTCTTTGCCTGTGAGGAGTATGCACAGAATGCATTGAGGAAGCATAAGGACTTGTTGGGTAAAAGATACATTGAACTCTTCAGGAGCACAGCAGCTGAAGTCCAGCAGGTTGGTTTTAAGAGCATTTTGGTGACTTTGTGTGATATACTATTTATTTCTAAGAACAATCCTACATTTTTTATTGTGCTAAAATAAAACTTGAGAAATATAGAAAGTCTAAGTGCATTTTTAAAAAATTTCATTCCATAATTAAAAGATAGCTACTGATATTTTCAATACACATAGGAAAAATACTATGTGTTTTTATATAATTGGAACACTGCTATAGATATACTCTATATTTAAAACCTATAAATCTTGGGGCATCTAAGTGGCTCAGTTGGTTAAGTGTCCGACTCTGGATTTCAGCTGAGGTCATGATGTTCTGTTTCATGGAATTGAGCCCCCTCTGTCAGTGCAAAGCCTGCTTTGGATTCTCTCTCCCTCTCTCTCTGCCCTTTTCCCACTCACACGTGCGCTCTCCCTCTCTGTCTCAAATAAATAAGCTTTAAAAAAGTCACTTACCAATTAATAAAGAAAGAAAAATACCTATTTTGCAAGCTTACCCATGTCTAGAAAGTTTCATTTTTTAATGTCTCATAAAATTACATAATTTATTTAGAAAGTCTATTGTACATTTAGGAATATAGAGATTTCTAGATAAACATGCTTCTAAAACCCAATTTCTGATTGATTTCTTTAGAACTGGATGGTGTGAGCTTTTAAGGTTTTTAATAGCTAACCAAATGTATTTCCCAAAAGACTTACTCAGTTCCATACTGCTGGTGACAGCATACAGTGTCCTTTTGTCCTGTTATTACCTTCCAGAATCCATAGTTGTTTTTGAGGCACAGATGGGACAATCATTTGCCCAAAATGGTCCAGGCATGAAGCTATCTGCAGGGTTTCAAGCCTTTTGACTATTCTTGATTTACCAGCTGAATGGTCTTTAAGGCTCTGTTTATTTTTCCTTTGTATCTGAGATCATGTAGATAGACTGCCTCCCACGCAGCTCTTCCGACTTCTTCTGCTTGGGTCCCCTACTAGGACAGAGTCACTTTAATGATTCACTTTTTTCTTCTTCACAAGCAATTAGGACACTGACTCTACTATTATTTCTATGAGTTCATAGAATGATTTTATCTAGCTTCTTGCCACAAAGCCCATTGAGTATTGTGGTTTGGAATCATTGCCCGAAGTTGAAAAGAACATTTCACCTGGTAGAATACCAACATGTTTTTATACCTACATAAATGGAGGTGACATTTTGAGCTAGTTCTGCATCCTGATGTATTTGTCTTCTTGAACCCTAATCTATGAACATACTTCTACATTAAACAATTCTTTATCTTGTTGAAAATTATCATCATAAACTCTGAATTTCTAAAATATACTAAATGTATTTGAGGCTTCCCATGTTACATTCATCAGTGCCAAACCAGAGGAGGTGAAAATGAGACTTTAGATCTTTAATTGGAAGAACAGTTTTATGGAAATCTTGGCGTAGAACACACTACTCCAGGGTCTTGGCTACTGCATGTTGATTGGTTTGGGTATAGAGTTATGCTGCCTCTATATAACTTTAATGTGGTTTTGGTTATAGATGAGCCTCCTCTCCAACCCCATCCTACTGACTTATTTAAGAAATGCTGAAGTAATCATATGCTCTGCACTGTCATCTTCTCATTACTCATCCAGTAAAACCTTGGTTTGTGAGCATAATCAGTTTCGGAAACATGCTTGTAATCCAAAGTACTTGTATATCAAACTGAATTTCAAGAACCATTGGCTCAGTTGTGTTCATGTGATGTTTGGCATCATGTGCTACTCATATTGTAAGACATGGCTTGTTTATCAAGTTAAAATTTATTAGAAATTGGGGTGCCTAGGTGGCTCACTCGGTTAAGCATCCAGCTTCCGCCCACATCATGATCTTATGGTCTGTAAGTTCGAGCCCTATGTCCGGCTCTGTGCTGACAGCTCAGAGCCTAGAGCTCCTTCAGATTCTGTGTCTCCCTCTCTCTGCCTCTCCCCTGCTTGTGCTCTGTCTCTCTCTCTCAAAAATAAACATTTAAAAAAAATGTTTGCTTGTCTTGTGGAATACTCGCAAAATAAGTTACTCACAATCCAAGGTTTCACTGTAATTATTTCATTCAATAACTATTTGCTCACCTCCTATTTGGCAGTTATTGGAAGGTGCCTGACCATGTCCTGTCTTGAGTTTGTCCACAACTATATATTTATTTTCATGTTCATCCTATAATGTTTGTGCTATGTCTATATGATTTGTATAATTTTTTTTAAATCTTGCTATCTCTTTAAAGTTTCTTGGGCTGCATTATATTTCTTTATTCCTGTCACCTCTTACTTAGATAGCAACCAGACAGGGTGTGAGTGAGGAAATCAGGACAATTTTTTTGGGAGGGTTTTGATTCTATATTTCCAGGATATTGGATGATGAAGGCTACAGTAGTAAGTTGTTCAGAAAACCTAGGGATGCCACACATTGTTGCACAAGGACCTCCTAGTATTATAAACTAGTAGGCATCTTCTAACCTAAGACAAAAGCAGACCAGAACCTTACAATAAAGTTTTGCCTGGCAGTAATCTTTTCTCTAAATATACCTGACCTCTCATTCATTGTCAAGATAACTGAATTCCATGACTTTAAAGATAGTCAAGGGGCACCTGAGTAGCTCATTTGGTTGAGCATCTGACTTCGACTTAGGTCATCCCGCAGTCAGTGAGTTCAAGCCCTGCACCGGGCTTGCTACTGTCAGTGCGGAACCTGCTACAGATCCTCTGTCCCCCTTTCTCCCTCCCCCTCCCTGTTTGCGTGCATTCTCTTTCTCTCTCTCTAAAAAATAAACATTTTTTCATTTTTTATTTTTTTTTTAATGTTTGTTTTTGAGAGAGAGACCGTGAGTGGGGGAGGGTCAGAGAGAGAGAGGGAGACACAGAATCCAAAGACAGGCTCCAGACTCTGAGCTAGCTGCCAGCACAGAGCTGGTCATGGAGCCCGACCCCACGAACCGTGAGATCATGACCCCAGCCGAAGTCGGACGCCCAACTGCCTGAGCCACCCAGGTGCCCCATAAACAAACATTTAAAAAAAAAAGATAGTCAAGATGTTCTGTCTTGCCACTATCCCAAATTCACATGAAAACTGATTATTTTGATGGTCACCAAATGATTTTTTTCTTTCATTTTTACATTAGCAGTTCTGTTTTAGGCTTTATACATTATTATAAATGTGGCATTATATAGCCCAGAGTCATTAGGTCATTTTCTTGCTTGAGATTAGAGGTAGAATGTGGTAATGGTATTAAGGGGAACACTGTGCCTGGTGAAATTAAATCTAATAGATTGCTACGAAAGTCCACATTTAGCAATACACCCAGAATTTTATAAAAGCAGCATACTTTAAGGGTATTTGTCCTGACACTGTGGTATATCTGTCCAGTAGACAGGTCCTTGATATAAGCGCATTGTATTGTGTGTGGCACATGCCTCAGCAGGCATTTAACAAAAATAGGGATGATGCTTTCCCAGCTGAAAACCAGGCATGTCTTTTCCCATAAGTGCTTCTCAAACTTTAATATGCTTATGAATTACCTGGGGATCTTGTTAAAATGCGGGCTCATATTTACAAGGTCTGGGATGGAGCTGAGGCAATGTATTCATTTCTAACAGGCTCCACAGTGCTGCTGGTGCTGCTCTGCAGACCACGTTGGAGGAGCAAGCCTCTAATTCACTTCTCTTTTGCTTTGAGCACAGGTGCTGAATCGATTCTCTTCGGCCCCTCTTATTCCACTTCCAACCCCTCCCATTATTCCAGTACTACCTCAGCAATTTGTGCCCCCCACAAATGTTAGAGACTGTATACGCCTTCGAGGTCTTCCCTATGCGGCTACAATTGAGGACATCCTGGACTTTCTGGGGGAGTTTTCCACAGACATTCGAACTCACGGGGTTCACATGGTATTAAATCACCAGGTAAGAAAGTAACTTATTGGAAAGCTGATTTACTTATTCTTATGATGAAAGGCTCTCTTCCATTTAAAAAAAAAAAAAGACAAATATTCATCAGCTGTATAGTAAGTCTTTAAGGAAAGATTTAACTGTAAATGCAGGAGATCTTTAAAATGGACTCCAGAAAGAATGCTATCATTAGCCTGGTAATTTAAATTCAGCTCTGATTCCATCACCACTTATATAGATGACATTATTAGCCTCAGGAAGGAGACAAATATATTATTAGTCTAATACAGCATTTTACTGAGCTTTGCTTTTGTAGTGTGAAAGTGATTATAGACCATGTATAAACCAATGAGCCTGTCTGCGTATCAGAGTATTTTATATCTATAGACTGTTTGAAAATGGCTTATTTTATTTTATATATATGACCTCCACTGACATTTAGTAGAGTGCACACTTAGTAAGGATTTGTATCTGTACCACCTGGAACAGTATGTGATCATAACAGGTGCTCAAATGTATGAATGAATTATTGAGAAGCCTCCATCACAATGAAACCAAATTCTCACAGTATACAAGTACAGTTATAAATGTATTAACAGTAGTTCCTGGTTTGGTGTCCCTTGATTTTTGGCTAAATAAAATTAGTCCTATTAGTTGCTGAATAATTTACTAGTATTGTTTGCTAGTATAAGCAGGATACAATTTCTAAAAGCCCATAAACCAAGTAATTCTAATTAAAATTTTGGAACTCTCTATTAAAAGCAAAGTTGAATTAATTTTTGAAAATGTTTTCTGAGTATTATGGGTTGAAAATAGATTTGTATTGGAAATTCCGACATTTTTCTAAATTTTGCTAGTCTCCTGCTATCTTTTCTCGTGTGACGATTTGGTCACATCCATAACCGTAATCCTGTCTCATTGGAAAGTACATCCCTCTGGGATGAGGAATCAGAAAACACTCTGAGCCCCTGGCTTGGGTTTCCACACCGGCATATGCTCATTCTTACTCTTATGTCAATATTAAGCTATGCAGCTTTTTATCTTACATACCCTCTCAGCATGCTTCACTAAGGGGAGTCCTTTTAAATAAAACTTCCCCACAATTCAGCATCGGCAGAGGATTACTTTGTTTCTCTTTGAGCACCATTTCTAATAACCTAGGGGCTATTATAGTTCTTTGATTAACTACAGTAGACCTATTTTGTCTCTTATTGACCCACCTGACCTATTATGATTATACTTGGGGAAAATGCTTCTTTAATAATGAACAGGCTTTTAGCTGCCTCAAAGATGTTAGGTTTCCATCTTGGACTGGGTCTCCACGGTATCCCTAATTTCCCTGGTATGGTAACTCTTATGGTAACTTGCATGGTTATAATTTGCACTACATAGTCCCTTAGAGACTTAAAGAAATCCATAAAAAAGAGAGGAGTCTTAAAAGCTGATTGTGTCTTTTTCTCCCCCATAAAATGTCCATGTTAAATAAAACCAAGGTGTTCTGGTTCTGTGAAATAGAAATCTACTAGCTTGGTTTTAAACAGGATTTTCAGCAAGGTATTAATAATAGAGGAAATGTTTATGAACACCTGTGTGACCAAGGTTTAAGATGGAGGTGCCAGGGAAGAGATGAAGGAAGGGCTCCCACACAGGCTTAATACAATTTTCACCACCCCCACAGTGTTTTGCAGCTCCCGTTCCCTTTTCCCCCCTTCAGTATCCCCCTTCTTCCTAAGCCCACATCACAACCTAGGCTTCAGGGAAAAGGAAAAGGAGTGTTGCAGGTCAGTGATAGACAACTGAGAGCCAAAAGAGAACACTGGTTTAGTCAGCTTCTTATAGGCAGATACATAAAGCTCTTGTGCTGGTTCTATTCCTAGCTTTTCTCAATCAAATAAGATTTAATCAGATTTTCCAGAAATACAAAACCCAATATACAATCCTATACTTTGAAACCGCAGTTACAAGGATAGCCTTTCAAAACCCTGTAAATCTGATACTAACTAATAGAAATGAGAAAGGATCACTTTTAGCAATGAGCCCTCAAAACTATTTCCAAGGTTTTGTGGGCCATACTGGTGGTTAGATGATGAAATGCAAATCAGATTTCAGTAGACAACACTTGTCACCCAGATTTTGTGGCTAAAATGTCTATACTATGGGTGATTGTCACTTTGCATGTTTTGTAAGCAACCATTTCCTTGTTGAAGGAGACAGTCTCCTTTTGTTTTTATTCTTCCCCCACATGCTCAGGGCCGCCCATCAGGAGATGCCTTTATCCAGATGAAGTCTGCGGACAGAGCATTTATGGCTGCACAGAAGTGTCATAAAAAAACCATGAAGGACAGATATGTTGAAGTCTTTCAGTGTTCAGCTGAGGAGATGAACTTTGTGTTAATGGGGGGCACTTTAAATCGAAATGGCTTATCCCCACCGCCATGTAAGTTACCATGTAAGTTTTTCTTGGGTCTTGGCGCTATTCTACGCTATATGCTGGTAGGTGCTTAAGCTGCTTTCATAACTTTCTGTGCCCCTGGTTCTTTCTAAGGCAGGTGAGATGGTTACATAAGATTTTCCCATCTGAAATCGGTAGTATCTGGTAATCATTTAAGACCTTGGTTGTGGACACCCATAATTAGAGATGCTACGAATACCTTCTTTCAAATTATATTCTTGCTTTTCCAGTGATAAGCACTTGATTTCTGAAGCTTAGTGTGCTCAAGATAAGCACTGACTCTGAGAGGCAACCTGGCTATGTAGATATTTTAATACGCATTTAAAGGTAAAATAAGTATGGCTGGATCTTTTGTCTTTTCCTTCTTTTTTTTTTTTTTTTTGATAACGCATTAAATTTTTTTTAGAAGGGTGATTTGATGCCCGTTTGCATTTTTAATTTTTTGAGCATTAAGTATGTCTTTGGAAAGGACAACCTGGGAAGCATTTCTCTTCCTCACCAGGATATCTGGAATGAGTAAGTTAGAAGGAAAAAAAAAAAAAAAAATATATATATATATATATATATATATATATATACACACACACACAAATGCGTAAATAAATTAGCCAAAGTTTCCATTGGATCGCAGGATCAGTGCTTAATTTCAAGCCATGCTCTTGCTCATTGGCACCTGGGTGCAAGCCATCTGGAATCCTGTTTGAGAGGAATAAGCCCTTTGGTCTGGAAACCATGTTCTGGATAGTGAGTAAGGGACATTTGTGGATCTGACCTTAAAACTTAAATCTTTTTGACACAGTTTTCACCTTTGAATAAGACATACCTTGTTAGGAGCCATTTTGGGTATGTTTGAAGAATGTAGAACTTAGAATGTAGTCTGAAGATGACTGAGAAAGCAAACTGGAATATGTACTTGATCCCAATAAAATGAGAAGTGTTAGGACATCACTTTCTAGTAAAGAGGATCTAGACCAATAAAACTATTTGATAAAGTATTTTTCATAGAAAATTCAGTGGGGCTTAATCCTTCCCCCCCCTCCCCCCCGCCCTTGGACTTCCTAAATGCTAATATTCCATTTATCTGCTGCTTGCTTTTGGTGAACATCTAAGAGTTGATGACTAATGGCTGTCAAGTTTTGAAAATGGGTTTAAGTGGTATTTTAATCTTAGTCCTATGTATCCTGTCCATAAACCACTGATAATATCAGTAACTTTCGATATCCTTTAGCAATAATCTTATCAAGCACTGAGATAAGGGAATCTCTTCATGATGTATAACCCAAATTATTCTGCTGTGGTATCCTTTTACTTCTCTCTTCCTAGTGGAAAATTGGTCTTTCTTCTTTCTTCTTAAGACTCATTTTTCCCCCTTTCCTTCTACAAGCCCTAAAATAACAGAAAAAAATTTTAAATGTTTTTTCATAAAAATAGATTTCCATGTATTTTAATACTCCTTAAAAACTTTAACCAAAATTAACTACTTACACGGGGAAGGCATACTCATTAAAAAAAAAAAAAAAAAGAATTCTAATCAATACATTGTAATACTATTCCTGTTCTACTGGAGGGTTTTTTCCCCTGCCAACTCACTTTAGGTGATTTCCTATTTTTACAGCAACCAAAATACTTAGAGAAATTGCATTTTTTTTTATCTACTCTCAACAACTAAAGAAGTTAAAATAGATTGGAAATTCCCCACTGAGGAGTTTCTTGTTCATTCTGGAAAGAAATGCTGCTACACTCTCAGTGGTTTAAAGTTTAAAACGTTAATTTGTTTATTGAAATTTTAACTTTTTGAAAAAGTTGGACATTGGGAGGAAAATTCCACTTTTCTAACCTATGAATATATACATCTGATTCTCTCTTAGGAGTATAAGAATAGCTCTTCTCAGTTGAGGAATATCCAAGTCTGGGCATCCTAATCTGTTTTGTTATCAAAAATTTATACATTTCTTTATATTGTCATATAATGAATTGCTTGATAGTTTTGAAAGCAAGATATAGGCATACGCTTTATAATTTTCTGTATGACTTAGTGCCTCAATTTGTTCTGTTTGCCCTTTTGTGGAATTTTGAAGGTCAGGAATCATAATTTTAATTTTACATTAAGTACCAAACATGCATCACAGGTTTTGTTGAATTATGAAGGAGATACCTAAAAGTTGAATAGGAGATCGATATGTTGGTCTTTGGTTTATGTACCCCTATTCAGATTCTTACTCATCACTATGCACATGTAGAAGCTTGTAAGAAAAAGCAAAAGACAATTGAGATTTTCCTGTGAAAAGGTATCCCTGTTATTTGCAAACTATATTAAATGGTTCCATGTATAAAAATTAAAGTCAGAAATTCCAAATTCAAGCCACCTCTCATTTATCTCTCCTGTCTGGTGCAGATGGCCTGGATAGTTGTCTTCATCCCACTTGCTAAAACTACTGACCAGTAACTAGTCTGACTTAAAAGAGTTATGGGGCCTGGGAGATGTTGAATAACTGGAAGATAATAGAATTTCATCCTTCTCTGTTTAAACTGAGTCAGCTTTTTATCAGCTGACTATTGGGAAGACTTGAGCATATATTTCTTGAGAGTTATCTTTCAGATTATGTGGTGGTCTTTTTGCTGTTTTTTGGGGTTTTTTTTCAAATATTTTAAAGAGAGCACATGTAAGCAGGGGAGAGGGGCAGAAGGAAAGAATGAGAGAGAATCTTAAGCAGGCTCCTTACTCAGCACAGAGCCTGATATGGGGCTTGATCCAAAGACCCTGAGATCATGACCTGAGCAAAACTCGAGTCAGACACTCAATCAGCTGAGCCACGCAGGCACCCCTGTTGTCTGTTTTTTTGTGTTTTTTTAAAACACATCCGAAGAATTAGATTAGCTTCAAATCCTACCTTCTGGGTTTTGCTTAGGTGGAAATAATGCAGCTAATCTACTCCTAGGTCCATTCACTCTGGTGCCTTCTATGCTTGGGCCTAATGCATGGAACTGGTTAAATTGTTTTTATCATAGCCGTTTGCATCTTATGCTTACTATAGAGGAGGTAACAAGACGAAAGAACAGCATAGCTCCAAAATGTTGTTCCAACAATAACAACCCGCATTTAGTTTGAAGTTATACTAAATGTCAGTCCTGTGTTCCTTTCCTCAATGGGTTAGTTTGTGGTAACCAGCACTCGAGTAGAAAATAAAAACCAGGGACGCCTGGGTGACTCAGTCGGTTAAGCATCTTGATTTGGGCTCAGGTCATGATCTTGTGGTTTGTGGGTTTGAGTCCCATGTTGGATTCTTTGTCTCCCTCTCTCTCTGCCCCCCTCCCCTGCCACTCACACTCTGTCTCTCTCCTCCTCTCTCTCTATAATAAACAAACACTAAAAAAAAAAAATCACACATTGTGAAATGATTGAAAAAATGTAAAAGTTCACTTGCTAGTTACCTTTTTCCAATTTCCAGGTGTTCAGGCTTTGAGATTATTTTTAGGTGTTCTCCGTATAATCAAAAGGAAATTGCTTGGGCATTTTAATCAAATTTTGCATGAAGGATCAGGATTCAATGATTGATGAGTTTAAGATTCACCAAAAAATTGCATTAAAAATGTGTTTACAGATTTGTAAAAGATTACACATTTGAGAAATTTCACATTGTAATAAAGATTTCAGAAAACATTAAATCTATGCAATAAAAAGATGGTTGCTTGGGAGGACAAAGAGCTAGTGTCTTCGAAACGTCTGTATGCGTGAAAAAAAGAAAATGTATGTGTGTGTGGAACGGTGGCTTTAGTGCTAGCACGTGTGTCACTTGTGACAAATATGTTTAAAGTCTCTCTCTTTGCTTATTTAGGCCTGTCTCCTCCCTCCTACACATTTCCAGCTCCTGCAGCGGTTATTCCTACTGAAGCTGCCATTTATCAGCCCTCTGTGCTTTTGAATCCACGAGCACTACAGCCCTCCACAGCGTACTACCCGGCGGGCACCCAGCTCTTCATGAACTACACTGCGTACTACCCCAGGTAAGGCTCGGGTGGCGGTGGAAACGAGGGGGCAGAAACAAAGGACTCCTTTGATAGCCAGTGCCTGGGTTCACAAAAGAATATTGTCTGCCCTTAAAGGTTAGGATGGCAGGCAGCAGCCTCTGTCCTATCTCTCTGACCACAGAGGTAGTTTCGAGATGAAAATAAGTTTATTTTTTAACATATATTGACAGCAGGATCTTTTACGTTACCTACATAACAAGTTTCCTATGTTTCCTGTTCCTGTCTTAGGACCATAAGTAAGCAGCGCTGTAAGCATGGCAACAGTATGGCAATGTCCTATGAATGGGTTTTAAAAATAGGAAAATCCATAAGAACAATTATATTGTTAAGTAGTGTCAATTCATATGTCAACCCATAATAAATAACAACTTTTAAATTTTACGGGACTTGTACTTTGTTCCCCTCCACCCCCCAAATCAGTACTAACAAGCCAAGATGAGATTCGTCAGTACTTTTCTTGAAATCAACATATTTTTAATCCAGTTCATTCTTTTTAGTTCTGTTCAATTTCTGGAAGGCGGCAGGTATAAGGGAGAGAAAGCCATTGATCTGGAAGTTGAGAGACCTGAGATTTAGTCTCAGTTTTTATTCTAACTGGGGCAAGTCACTTAAGTTTTCTGGTTCTTAAAAAAAAAAGTGATGAGATTGGCCAAGTTTTTGGCCAACTTTGTCCCTTCCCGGTCTGATGGCTTGTGAATCTAACTTGGATGTATAATGACATCTCAAAATTTTCTCAAATTTTCTTTTCAAAAAAACCGTTTAGCCAGTAACCATTTCCGTTTTTAAAATAAGATTTTACTTTGGCACAAGCAATATTGCTCAAAAAATTTTAAATTATCCCAGGCCTTATTTTTCCTTCCTGAGATATTTGACAGCAAGTTTTGAGTACATCCACCAATGTGTAAGTGAGGTTTTATGATAAGTAATCTGGAAATAACTTACCCGATCCCCATAGTTGCTATGTGATTTTGTAGTTTTCTTCCTTTTCCATCTAGTTTTCTAGAATGGAGCAGAAACTGTAGAATCTCTAGCAGTGAAGCTTGTAACCGCTGTTCATTACATTTGTTACTTAATTAGGCATTTTAAAAACATTCAGTAATGCTATTACACATTTTTTTTTAAGAGAGCACATGAGCAGGGGTGAGGAGCAGAGGGGGAGAGAGAGAAAGGGAAGGAGAAATAGGGGCTTAAGGAGGCTCCACCTCAGTTCAGAGCCCAACATGGGGCTTCATCCCATAACCCTGGTATCATGACCTGAGCCACAAATCAAGAGTCAGATATTCACCCGGCCGAGCCACCCAGGCGCCCCACAGATATTCTTTATTCTACTGGGGAAGAATAGGGAGAAAGCAATAATAGTCAGTTGGCCATCTTTTGAAGGTTTGAAAAGGCTCAGAAGCATGAATGATTGTTCATGGTTGAGTACTGCGTCAGGCGCCTAGCCGAGTCCCAGTCTGTCACCTTCTCTGGACCCTGTGACAATCACTTGCTAGTAGTGGGCTCTGGTTATAAGAAAGATCTTTGTCTGCAGCATCAGAATGTCAGGAGTGAAAAAGCATTGTTCCTCTAGGTGTTTTTTCTCACCTCTAGAATACATTTGCAGAGTATCCAATTCCACCATTTACTTATAATCTCGATCCTATGAAAAGAAGGAATCCCTTAGAAATAGCTGGCTATCGTGGTAAGATGGGAACTTGAGTCTTGAATAGAAACCCCAAAAGCAGGAAGAAGTGACATTTATGGCTTAGTAGCTCGTATAATTTCGTGCCCTTGCCTATAGGTTAATTTTTCTCTAGTAGCTTTAAAGTTTGTAAGACCCCGTTGTTAAATCTAAGAGTATAGAAATAGAGTGAGTTAAAGTAGACTCCCATTTTTATAAACCTCCGAGTCCAGAAGCAATCACTGTTAATGGTTTGGGAATATATACATATGTTTGCATTTCTAAATAATGTGGCCTGCTTAACATGCACTGCTCACTTGTTCCTTTTTTTATTTTTTAGAGAGAGTGCAAGTGGGGAAAGGGGGCAGAAGGGGAGATAATCTGATGGGGGGCTCGATCCCACAACCTTGGGATCATGACCTGAACTGACATCATGGGACAGTACAGTCAACTGACTGAGCAACTCAGGAGAGTTTCTTTCTTTTTTTTAAACCTCCCGTTACATCCTTTACATTTTCCCTAAGCAGTATTTATATATTTACCTCATTCCTCTAACTTACACATGATGTCACAAGGGTGAATATACATCAGAATTTAACAATGCCTTTATTTTTAGACCTCTAATTTAAATTTTTTTTTCTTAGGGTACCTTGGTGGCTCAATTGGTTGAACGTCTGACTTTGGTTCAGGTCATGATCTCATGGTTCGTGAGTTCAAGCCCCACATTGAGCTCACTGCTGTCAGCACAGATCCTGCTTCAGATTCTCTGTCCTCTCTCTCTCTGCCCTTTCCCTGCTTGTGCTCTCTCTCAGAAAAAAAATTTTTAATTTTTTTCTCTATTAAACAAAGCTCACATTGATCTTTAAATACATCTATTTCTATAGGACAGTGTCACAGAAATGGAATTTTTAATCAAAGGTCATGCATATTAAATTTAAATTAATATTTTCAAATAATCCCTAATATAGTTCATTATTTTAATTTATACTTCCCTAGTTGTAATGAAATTACCACATAAACAAGGTGTTTAAACATGGGAATGTCCTCTTATTTATACTGCAAAATCTAGAGTAATTTAAAAAACGAATTCCAAAAAATTATAAAATAGTTTACAGTTTTGGAATAATACCACAAAACTCTAACCTGACATGACTATAAGGCATTTGAGGCTATTGCAAAGTTGCTATGTAAGATTACATGTATATTTTCACCATATTCCCTAATAAATGGGGAAAGTCTTAAGAGAGCACATGTGAGACTAAACAACAGATATAATCAGAAGCGTTGGAGGTTTTGTCTCTTTTTAAAGTTTTTAAATTTACTCCTTTTTTTTTTATAAAATATGTCAGTTTGACTTGAGATTAATTCAATGTGTTCATTACTTTAAGAGGTTAAGATGCTAAATATTTTGCAGATGTTTTAAGCATGGCCCTCAAAAAGAAGTGATTGGTTTTAACTGTTTTTTTTATGTTTATTTTTGAGAGCGAGAGACAGAGTGTAAGTGGGAGAGGAGCAGAGAGAGAGGGAATCACAGAATCCGAAACAGGCTCCAGGCTATGAGCTGTCAGCACAGAGCCTCGTGTGGGGCTCGAACCCATGAACCGTGAGATCATGACCTGAGCTGAGGTCGGATGCTTAACCAACTGAGCCACCCAGGCACCCCTTAACTGTTTTTTTAAAGATATTATTATTATTATTATTATTGTTATTGTTATTATTACTATTCTCTGCTCGCAACACAGGGCTCGAACCTGTGACCACCAGAGCAAGTGTTGCATGCTCTACTGACTGAGTCAGCCAGGCCCCCTGGTTTTAACTCTTTTTTATTTCAATTTAACTGAGCAAACTATTACTTAGTACCTCTGTGTGAGATCTGTTGGGAACATGAGGATTAACAAAACCTGGACTCTTTCTGGTATAGAGCACCGGACAGAGTATGTATGCAACCCTGTGCAAAGTCAGTGATGTCAGAGGTCTCTTTCAACTCGAGAGCACTTTTATCTCTAATTTGCTCTATTTAAAAAATTAAAACCTCTCCAATGGCTACTGCTCTGAGGTATGGCATCTTTTATCATAAGGATTTGGGTTTCTTGAGGAACAATTTAAGGAGAAAACATGAACCATTTATTATTTTTTTATGTTTATTTTTGAGAGAGAGAGTACCATCATGCCCACGCTCTAGCTGGGAGAAGGGCAGAGAAAAAGAGAGACAGAGGATCCAAAGCAGGCTCTGTGCTTACAGCAGACAGCCGATGGGGAGCTCAAACTCACAAACCTCAAGATCATGACCTGAGCTGAAGTTGGACATTTAACCATCCAGGCACCCCATGAACCATTTATTACTAAATAAGTTTTTGGCAGTCTAAATGTGTGGCTGTGACAATAACATCATGAAGAGTGAGTGAAATAAGAGCACATGTGGTTTTAATTTCCTGTTTATGGACATTTCTTCTCCCCCATTTTTTTCTTAGTTTGTTTATTTTGAGAGACAGATTGGGGGAGGTCAGAGAAAGGGGAGAGAGAGAATCCCAAGCAGCCTCCACACTGTCAGCACAGAGCCTCATGCTGGGTTTGATCTCATGAACCAAACAGATCATGACTTGAGCTGAGATCAAGAATCTGACACTTAACTGACTGAGCCACCCAGGCACCCCTCCTTTACCCCTTTCTAGAAGACAGATCCAGTTCTCCAGTATCCTAGAGCTTAGCCAAGGGTACAAAAGAATTAGAAATGCCAATATGTTCATGCCCACCCTGTTTATCACTCAAAACTCTGTTAGATCACACCTTTTCTCTCCAGTTGTACAATCAGTGAATTTCTACCTAAGCAGTAAATAAGTATATTTAGTAATATTGAGGCATTCTGCACTGTTTGCTTTGTTGTATAGCATTATCGTATTCTATTCTATAATTCTCTGCAGTTGAACCGAAAAAAAAATCCCAAAAGAGCCTATATTTCATATTTTCAACACTTAACTTTTGAGATAAGTTATAATTTAATTCACATGCAATTATAATAAATATCAGGGAGAGATCTCATATACACTTTACCTAGTTTCTCCCAGTAGTAACATTTGGCAGCCAGTTTATGTTCTAATTTATTTGGTGAAGGTTTTCTGATAGAAGTAAGAAAAAACATAAAATAATAGCTTTAGCATGGGGTAATATTTTTCTTGGTTAATTAATTGATTTTTGCAACTTAAATGTTTTGTGCTACAAATGCAAACTGGAATTCAGTATGCAATGAAGTGATACCAGAACATTTTAGTAATAAAGTACCAGGCAATGTCGTAATAATGGAAAAGTGTCAGATAAT